TTATTAAGAACAATTGGCATACCCATATTTGGACTGCATTCTAGCCCGGGCAGCAAAGCAATACCCCCATTCTCTCTCCCTCTTCCTCTTTCTCTTTCTTCCTCTTCTTTATTCTTTTTCTTATTATAAAAAAAAAAAAAATACAAAAATTAGTTGGGCATGGTGGCACACTCCTGTAGGCCCAGTTACTCGGGAGGCTGAGGCTGCAGTGAGCCGAGATCGCACCACTGCACTCCAGCCTGGTGACAGAGCGAGACTCAGTGTCAAAAAAAAAAAAGAAAGAAAGAAAGAAAAACAAAGACAACTCAGTTTTAAAATGGGCAAAAGAGCCAGGCATGGTGGCTCACGCCTGTAATCCCAGAACTTTGGGAGGCCAAGGCAGGCGGATCACCTGAGGTGGGGAGTTCGAGACCAGCCTGACCAACAAGAAATCCCATCTCCTCCAAATTACAAAATTAGCCAGGCATGGTGGTGCATGCCTGTAATCCTAGCTACTTGGCAGCTGAGGCAGGAAAATCGCTTGAACCTGAGAGGCAGAGGTTGTGGTGAGTCGAGATTATGCCACTGCACTCTAGCCTGGGCAACAGAGTGGCAATCAGTCTCAAAAAATAAAAATAAAAAATAAAAAAATAAAATGGGCAGGCTGGGTGCGGTGGCTCAAGCCTGTAATCCCAGCACTTTGGGAGGCCGAGGCGGGTGGATCACAAAGTCAAGAGATCGAGACCATCCTGGTCAACATGGTGAAACCCCAGTCTCTACTAAAAATACAAAACATTAGCTGGGCATGGTGGCGCGTGCCTGTAATCCCCGCTACTCAGGAGGCTGAGGCAGGAGAATTGCCTGAATCCAGGAGGCGGAGGTTGTGGTGAGCCGAGATCGTGCCATTGCACTCCAGCCTGGGTAACAAGAGTGAAACTCTGCCTCAAAAAATAAATAAATAAAATAAAATAAAATAAAATGGGTAAAAGAGTTAGGTGCCGTGGCTCATGCCTATAATTCCAGCACTCTGGGAGGCTGAGGCAGGAAGATTGCTTAAGCCGAGGAGTTTGAGACCAGCCTGGGCAACATAATGAGACCTGAGACCTGTCCTCTACCAAAAATTTAAAAAATTAGCCGGCATGGTAGCATGCGGCTGTGGTCCCAGCTACTTGAGGAGCTGAGGTGGGAGGATCACCTGGGCCTGGGAGCTTGAGGCTGCAGTGAGCTGTGATCACACCACTGCACTCCAGCCCAGGGAACAGAGTAAGACCCTGCCTCAAATTAGAAAAATAAAAAGACAAAATATTTGAGTAGGCATTTCTCCAAAGGAGTTATACAAATGGCCAATAACCACATGAAACGATGCTCAATATTATCAGTCATTAAGAAAATGCAAATAAAAACCACAATGAGATAACACTTCACACCCACTAGGATGACTAAAATAAAAAAACTGACAATAACATGTGTTGAACAGACTCTGGAAAAACTGGGATTCCTATATGTTGCTGTAGGGATTTTTTTAGCTTCTGGGCTGAGGCACTTTCAGGCTGCTTGGTGCCAGGGGGCTGTCTGGGGACTTTTTTTAATGGTGAGGCCACTTTGGAAAAGTTTGGCAGTTCCTCAAAAGGCAAAACATGGAGTTACCATATGAACCTACAATTCCACTCTCAGGTATAAAAGAGAAATGAAAACATATGTACCCTAAACTTGTACACAAATGTTCATAACAGTATTATTCATAATACCCAAAAAGTGCAAATACCTCATATGTCCATTAATTGATGAATGGATAAACATAACGTGGTATAGTCATATCATGGAATATTATTTGGCAATAGGAAACACAGTTCTGACGCATGACACAATGTGGATGAACTTTGAAAACAAAGTAAAAGAAGCTAGTTGCAAAAGACTACATATAGTATGATTTCAATTACATGCAATGTCCACAATTTGGTTCTTCAAATTTTTTTTTTTTTTTTTTTTTGAGACGGAGTTTCGCTCTTGTTACCCAGGCTGGAGTGCAATGGCGCGATCTCGGCTCACCGCAACCTCCACCTCCTGGGTTCAGGCAATTCCCCTGCCTCAGCCTCCTGAGTAGCTGGGATTACAGGCATGTGCCAACATGCCCAGCTAATTTTTTATATTTTTAGTAGAGACGGGGTTTCACCATGTTGACCAGGATGGTCTCGATCTCTCGACCTCGTGATCCACCCGCCTCGGCCTCCCAAAGTGCTGGGATTACAGGCTTGAGCCACAGCACCTGGCCCACAATTTGGTTCTTGATTATACAACTGATTTAGTGGTTAGGAGAGGCTAAGTTAAGGAGAAATGGAAAGTGACTACTGATAGGATTCTTCTGGGGGTGATACAAATGTTCTAAAATTAGATAGTGGAGTCTGGGCACAGTGGCTCAGGCCTGTAATCCCAGCACTTTGGAAGACCAGGAGTTCAAGACCAGCCTGGGCAACATAGGATAATAATAATAATAAAAACTACTACCAATAATAATTTTTAAAAAACTGGTCAGGTGTGGTGGCTCACGCCTGTAATACCAACACTTTGGGAGGCTGAAGCAGGCAGATCACTTGAGGTCAAGAGTTTGAGGCTGGGGGCTGTGGCTAATGCCATAATCCCAGCACTTTGGGAGGCTGAGGTGGGAGGATCACCTGATGTCAGGAGTTCAACACCAGCTTGGCCAACATAGTGAAACCCCGTCTCTACTAAAAATATAAAAAAATTAGCTGGGCATGGTGGCAGACACCTGTAATCCCAACTACTAGGGAGGCTGAGGCAGGAGAATCGCTTGAACCTGAGAGGCAGAGGTTGTAGTGAACTGAAATTGCGCCATTGCACTCCAGATTGGGCAACAAGAGCGAAGCTCCATCTCAAAAAAAAAAAAGTTTGAAACCAGCCTGTCCAACATGGTGAAACCCCATCTCTACTGAAAATACAAAAATTAGCCAAGCGTGTTGGCGGGCACCTATCATCTCAGCTACTTGGGAGGCTGAGGCACGAGAATCGCTGGAACCCAGGAGATGGAGGTTACAGGGAGCTGAGATAGCGCCACTGCACTCCAGCCTGGGCAATAGAGCGAGAGTCAGTCTAAAATTTAAAAAAAAAAAAAAAAAAATTAGCAGGATGTGGTGGCATGTGCCTGTAGTCCTACCTGCTCAGGAAGCTGAAGTGGGAGGATCCCTTAAGCCAAGGAGCTTGAGGATGCAGTGAGCCAGGACTGCACCACTGCTTTCCAGCCTGGGCAACAGAGTGAGCTCCTGTCTCAAAGCAAGCAAACAAAAAAAAAAGGTAAACTTACAGTAGAGTTGCAAAGGTAGTACAAAGTGCTTGCTTAACAATTTTCATTCAGCTTTCCTTAATGTTATACATATATAACCATAGTACAATTTTCAAAATTAAGAAATTAAAGCCGGTACAATACTATTTACTAAACTGCAGACTTTATTTGGATTTCCTCAGCTTTTCTGCTAATCTCTTCTTTTTTTTGAGATAGGGTCTCGCTCTGTCACCTAGGCTGCAGTATGACTGGGCGATCTCAGCTCACTGCAACCTCTGCCTTGATCCTCCCGCTTCAGGCTCCCAAGTAGCTCAGATTAGAAGCGTGTGCCACCACACCTGTCTAATTTTTGTGTCTTTTGTAGAGATGGGGTTTCCCCATGTTGCCCAGGCTGGTCTCAAACTCCAGGGCTCAGGCAATCCACCCACTGCCTCCCAAACTGCTGGGATTACAGGTGTAAGCTATTGTACCCACCTAATGTCTTCTTTCTGTTACAGGACCCAGTAGAAAGTTCCACATCTGGAAATATTTTTCTTTCTTTGTATCTATCACTGACATATTACTTACTGTTTAAAGATTTTGCAAAAGGCATAAATTTGAAAATTATATCCTCACTAATCTAATTCAAGTCATTGATACAACTATTTAACAGGATAGTTACCTTAGTATAGCCTAGATCAGTGGCTCTCAACCAAAGCTGCATGTTAGAATTCCCAAGTATAGTTTGCAATTTTTTTTTTTCTTGTACAGACAGGGGTTTCACATGTGGTCCAGGCTGGTCTTCGAACTCCTGAGCTCAGGCAATCAGTCCACCTTGGCCTCCCAAAGTGCTAATATTACAGGTGCACACCACCACGCTCAGCTGATTCTTGTATCTTTTTTATTGAGATAGGATCTCACTATGTTGCTCAGGCTGGTCTCAAAACTCCTGGGCTCAAGTGATCCGCCTACCTCAGCCTCTCAAAGTGCTGGGATTATTGGCGTGAGCCACGGTGCTCAGCCCACCTGGGTATAGTTTTAAAATTCTGATAAACAGATTGTGCCTCAGGCCAATTAATTCACAGTCTCTGGTAGTGGGACCTAGACATTAATTTTTTTTTTTTTTTGAGACGAAGTTTCGCTCTTGTTACCCAGCACTTTGGGAGGCCGAGGCGGGTGGATCACAAGGTCGAGAGATCGAGACCATCCTGGTCAACATGGTGAACCCCGTCTCTATTAAAAATACAAAAAACTAGCTGGGCATGGTGGCGCGTGCCTGTAATCCCAGCTACTCAGGAGGCTGAGGCAGGAGAATTGCCTGAACCCAGGAGGCGGAGGTGGCGGCGAGCCGAGATCGCGCCATTGCACTCCAGCCTGGGTACAAGAGCGAAACTCTGTCTCAAAAAAAAAAAAAAAAGCACATGGTTTCTTCATTCTCTATCGTCATCAAGCTAAAGAGACTGAGGAAGTACCATCTATGAGGAGTGCGTCAAGAGCAAACAAACCATCGCAAATGGGATGTGAAAATCGAGAAATGTGAGCCAGGTTAACAACAACAAAACGCAGACCACCACGCCGAACTTCCTCGGGTCCCATCCCGGTTTGGCAACTCAGCGTCCGGGAGGAATCCCCCGAAAAGCGCGCCAGCCCTACCGGCCTCACTCCCGACCTCCTGGAGATTCGGAGTCCCGCTCCTTTCCCTCGGCGGTACAACCCCCGTGCCAGTACGGACACCGTCCCTCACCGTGAGTCGAGGACGAGTTCCCCTAACGAGGCGACCTGCACGCACAGACAGACGCCGCCTCCAAAGCCACAGTCGGAAGAAGGCTCTGGTCGTCCGGCAGGAAACGACTCAACGCGCAGCCGCCGCGGCCTCCAACCGCCGGCCGGCAGAGGGGCGCCAGGCAGCCTCGATCCGCGGTCAGGAGGAGGAGGAGCAGGGGGAGGCGAGCCGCCTCGTCCCTGCGACGAGCCCAGGGAGATGGGTTGTCGTGAGGCTCGACCCGCCACCCTGGCAATTCCAGTCAAACGTCAAGTCCCGACTCGCTTTGCCTATCCCTTCCTCTCCTGCCCCTGCAGCCGACAGGAATGGAACAATCCCGCGTGGGGAATTGTGGGAGGCGCACGCGCGAGGGTTGGGGTGTGCTGGGGGCCGGCGGCGGTAGGTGGCCTTGGGGGCGGGGTAGGGGGAGGAGAGAAGAGGAGGTGGAGGAGCTGGAGGAGGTTGAGGCTCGCGCAGCTGAAGGTACGCTTGAGGAGCCTGTGCGGGTTTGTGGGACCGCAAGAGGAGGTGTCCCTGGGTGGGCGCGTACGGGCTGGCTGGCGCGCAGGGCGGCCGTAGGTGGTGGTTGGTGGGAGCAGCCAGCGATGAGCCCGGAGACACTTGTACGCGTGCCGGTAGGCGGGCGCGCTGCGCGGCCGGAGTCGGGGACGGTGGGGAAGAGCGGGAAGAGAGAGGAATGGGAGGTGGGGGGGCGCGAGGCGCCCTTCGCTCCCTCCCTCCCGAGGAGCCGCCGCCGCTCTTGCGGCCATTTTGGGTTCGCTTTGCGGAGGGGGAGACGATTCCAGTCTCGGTTGCGGGACCCGCCTCCCCTCAGTTTGCCCCCTTTAGCCCTCCACCTTTCCCTTCTCCTCTCTCGCATTTCCGCCAGTCCGCTCACCCGCCGGCCGCCTCCTGACAAGCGGGAGCAATCCGCCGTGGACCCGGGAGCCTGGCGGCCACCCCCTCTTCCCCACTTCCCTGCACTCTCATCGCCGTCGGCCTGGGCCTCCGACACGGTGAGTAGAACGGTCTGGGCGGGCCTTGGGGCCTAAGCACACTCTCAGCGATGGAATCCTGGGCTTCCTGGGAGCCACTGTCATCTCCCGGACCTGGACCTCCGGGAGAGCCGTGGTGGAGATGGGGGAAGGGCGAGCAGGGAGGGGGTTCCTGAGCCTACCGGGAAGTCCCTCCAGGCGGGGTGAAGGGGTGTCCCTGACAGGCGGACTCCCGGCTCCGGGGAGGGGGCTGGAAAGTAAGCGAGTGGAGGCGGAGTCGCTGTGCCCCTGACGGGGTAGTTTGTGTTTGTAAGGCATGATCGGAGCCTCCCCCGTAGTCCGGTCTGTGTGTGTTTAGTTAAAGGATAAGCGTGTTCGAGGACACGATCTTGAGAGGGGAGTTGACCTGTACGACAAGGTCTGCGGTGTCCCTGCCGCGTGAACGGTACGTGGGAACGACGGGATGATCTCAGTGTTGCGAGTTTAATAAATGTCGCTGGTTAGTTTGTACATGGAAAGAGATGTTTTTGGTCCAGAGGACAGATGGTCTGTTACTGTGTAGCGGCTGTGTTTGAGTGTGTGTGCGAGGATGGAAAGTGTTTCCGGAAGAGTTTGCCTTTATTTGTGTAAGTGTAGTGGCGTTCCCCTATAAATTAGCTCATTTCTCGAATAAATGTTGGGAGATTCCTTGCAAGTTGATATGTGTGTGTATTTTAGGCATTGGGAGCCCCTAGTTACTTGTGGGGAAAGAGCGGTAATGGCAGTGTTCTATACAGCATGTGTCTGTGGGGTCAGGGAGGGAAGAAACTTGGCATAGCCAGTAGTGGGCGTAAGAATAGTTTGTGTCCACCGCGCGTGGTGGCTCTCACCTAATCCCAGCGCTTTGGGAGGCTGGGGGGATGGAGGGGATTTCGTGAACCCAGGAGTTACGGACTAACCTGGGCAACATAGTGAAACCTTGGTTCTACAGAAAAATTAAAAAATTAATAGGCCATGGTGGTGCATATCTGTAGTCCCAGCTCCTTGGGAGGCTGAGACAGGATGATCGCTTGAGCCCAGGAGGCAGAGGTTGCAGTGAGTTGATACCGCGCCACTGCACTCCAGCCTGGTGACAGAGTAAGACTCTGTCTAAAAAAAAAAAAAAGTTTTTAAAGAGGGGAATAATGATAGGCGATAGATAGAGGAAGTAGCCAGGGACCGGATAACATAGGAACTTGAAGACTTGACTAAATATCTAGTTTTGTATTTTAGGTTTTATAGGAAGCAGAGAAGTGACTTGATCTAATATATACACTTTGAAAGACAAGAGTGATGCAATCACATTGACCAGTTAAGACGCTATTGTGATAGTTGAGGCACGAGCTGATTGGAGGGTTGAACCTAGAGTGTACCAGTAGGTGGATTTAGGATACATTTTGAAGGTCGCAGGGTTAATAACTTGGTTATGGTTTGGATGTGGGATCAGAATAAAAGAGGAGTCCTGGATGACTTCAGTGATGGCCTGAGCAGTTGGATGCTTTTTTCTTTGATGAGGAACACTGTGGGAGAAGCAAATTGTAGGCAGTACAGAAATTAGGAATATGGTTTGGATATACAGTTGTCCCTTGGTATCTGTGAGGGTTTGGTTCCCCGGAGGATACCAAAATCCATGGATGCTCCAGTCCCTTATATAAGATGTAGACTATTTGCATATAATCTATGCATATGCTTTTGAATACTTAAACATTTTTTTTTTTTTTTTAAGACAGGGTCTTGCTCTGTCATCCAGGCTGGAGTGCAGTGGCGTGGTCATAGCTCACTGCAACCTCAAACACCTGAGGTAAAGCTGTTTTCCCACTTAGCCTCCTGAGTAGATGGGTACAGATTCACAACACCATATTCAGCCAATTTTTCTTTGATTTTGAAGACATGGAGTCTCACTTTGTTGCCCAGGCTGGTCTTGAACTCCCTCTTTGTATACATTTTTTAAAACATTTTTCCTGAGATGGAATCTTGCTCTGTTGCCCTAGCTGGAGTGCAGTGGTGCAATCTCAACTCCCTGCAATCTCCGCCTCTTTGGTTCAAGTGATTCTCAGGTGTCAGCCTCCCAAGTAGCTGAGAGTACAGGCCTGTTCCATCATGCTTGTCAAATTTTTGTTTTGTTTTGTTTTTTTAGGTGGAATTTCGCTCTTGTCGCTCAGACTAGAGTACAGTGGTGTGATTTCTGCTCACTGCAACCTCCGCCTCCCGGGTTCAAGTGATTCTCCTGCCTCAGCCTCCTGAGTAGCTGGGATTACAGGCATGTGCTCCCATGCCCAGTTAATTTTTGTATTTTTAATAGAGATGGGTTTTCATCATGTTGGCCAGGCAGGTCTCGAACTCCTGACCTCAGGTGATCCACCCGCCTCAGCCTCCTGAGTAGCTGGGACTACAGAAACATACCACCACAACTGGCTAATTTTTTTGTTTGTTGGTTTTTTTAGTAGAGATGAGGTTTCGCTCTGTTGGTCAGGCTGCTCTCAAACGCCTGACCTCTAATGATCGGCCTCCCAAAGTGCTGGGATTACAGGTGATTACAGGTGTGACTCACCACACCTGGCCTGTTGGATATTTTTTATGTTGGGAAAAATTTATCCAGAATGCCAGGACTAAAAGGATCTTTTGATAATTTTAGGTCTAATACCATCCTGGCCAAAAACCTTTAACATGTTCTAACTAGTCAAGATCTAGAGACAAACATAAAATGGTTGTTGAACAAATATATTTTTATCTTCTAAATAAAATAGCTTTGTGTGTCAGAGATCAGAACACTCATTTTACTTGCTACCAAGAACCAGAATGCTGAGTGGCTAGAATGGTCGTTACCTTCCTAGATACCCATTGTAGAGGAACACATAGGTAAAACAAATGAATAAAAGTTTAAAAAATGAGATAAAGATTTGAAGCTCTTTACCCATTAACATGATAATCATTTCAGCTTTGATAATTTATAGAACGAGAATGAGAACTCAGAACAAAGATCTCTGAGGAAATTTAAAAAGAGATCAAGCTGCCTCCTAATTTTTCATTTAGTCTGTCGTTGGGCATTGTCAAACTATATTTAGAGATTCTGGTCTTCATCTGGAAACGTAATGAGTCGTGTAATATCTTGAACACATGTATAAGATCTTGCTGGGTGTGGTGGGTCACGTCTGTAATCCCAGCACTTTGGGAGTTTAAGGTGGGAGGATCGTTGGAGCCCAGGAGTTTAAGACCAGCCTGGGCAACATAGCAAGTCCCTATCTCTATTTAAAAAAAAAAAAAAAAAAAAAAAAATCCTAAATGTAGAACTTTAAATTTATCCTCATATGTTCCATCCAGTTGATTTGAGAAAATATAATTTTGAATTTTCCATCAATTGGATTTGCTCCCTTTCAGCTTTACATCATTTACAGATTTGTTAAGTATGTTCTCTGGGTCTCCTAAGTCCCTGACAGAGTTCTTGAATAGTTCAGGTCCAAAGACAGGGACCTGTGAAACATTGTTGGAAGCTCGTCTCTCTCTCTCTCTTTTTTTTTTCCTTTTTTGGAGACAGTGCCTTGCTCTGTCACCCAAGCTGAAATGATGCAGTGACACAGTCTCGGCTCACTGTAACTTCTGCCTCTTGGACCCAAGAGATTGTCTCACCTCAGCCTCTAGAGTATCTGGGACTATAGGTATGTACCACCAAGCCCAGCTAAATTTTTTTGTAGATATGTTGATGTTTTGCCCAGGCTGGGAGACTCGTCTCTTGATTCCATTCAGTACTGTGTGGGTTTGGATAGGCCCTCTAATCGTAAAATCATCTAGCTCATATTTTGTCCTTGTCTTCTTCCTATTAGATTTTAAGCTTCCTGAGAATAGAACTAACTCTCTCTCTCACTCTGTTTCTCTGTTTCTTTCTCTGTCAATCTCTGTCTCTCTCTCTCTCTCTCTCTCTCTCTCTCTCTTCTCTCATATATCCCAAGCGTCTAAAATGGATTGAAGCATAGTTAGTATAGTTAGTGCTCAAATAAATGTTTTTGATTGAATGAATTAAGAATAGCTGG